TTTTTTTTTCCCGAGCGTTGCTCTATTGTCTTTCTTCGCTTTCTTGCCTCTCTCACTACCCTTTCTTTTTGCCATGAGTCTCTGATGACGTTTGTTTCGGCAGATCGCGCCTCAGCTGGTAAGCGGGCGTTGTATGCACTTGACAGAAAGGACTCTCATTGACTGAGCACCACTCTGCAATTACTCTTCTGTCCCCATGTAGGAGGTTGATGAGTAGCAGCATGACGGTCATATCGTCTTGCTTCAGTGCTTCTTCAATGACGATCAGAGAAAGGAAAAAAAAAGATAACAACCAAAAAAAAGAGAAACAACAAAGCTTATTAAAGAACAGTGTAGCAGAGAAGTGAACTGAGCACTGGGAAGTAAATGTTTCTTCTGAGCGGACAGTTAAATATCTCACAGTGGCCCAGTATCAGCCTCCTCTTGGCTTCTTTGTTATTCTATTCCTATATTTGTCGTGATGTGTCTTCGTTTTATTGTTGGTTAGTGTTACAATATTTATTTCACCTCTTTTGGTATTTATATGTGTCAGCAACGTTATGTGTGAAGGTGTCAAAAAAAAAAACAATTATAGTGGTGGTGGTGTTGCGACAAGTGACTCTTAAAGGCCGTGACCAATTGTGTTGTGTAGAGACAGAAACAGGAACTGAATATGAATGAATGTTGAAAAGAAATGGCAGGAACGTCTATCAGAGTCGCTACATGTATCATCTCTTACGTCTTCGGTTATTGTTTGTGTTTGTTTGTTTGTTGTTTAAAAAAGCGTTCAAATTGAAAGGTATTATGCAGCACTCGGCGGAGCATCCAGACATTGAGCCCTCTGGACTCTGTGGAAGGATAGTTCACGGCTATGGGCGAAAGATGGGGCGGTCAGCTAGTGTGCAACTCACCGATCACGTCACAGAGGAGCTGAAGCGGTAGACCAATCTCGTTGTCTATGGCTGGGGGTGCGTCATGGAGTCGGGGGAGGAAAGCGAAAACAGTGGCACAAGCAAAGGGCCATACCCGATTGCCATGTCAATTGGCTTTAACCCGC